ATATGTGTCCCTGGGTCTGAAGTGGGTCTCTTGTAGACAGCATATTTATGGGTCTTGTTTTTGTATCCATTCAGCCAGTCTGTGTCTTTTGGTTGGGGCATTTAATCCATTTACATTCAAGGTTATTATCAATATCTATGTTCCTATTACCATTTTCTTAATTGTTTTGGATTTGTTTTTGTGGGTGTTTTTCTTCTTTTGTGTTTCCTGCTTAGAGAAGTTTCTTTAGCATTTATTGTAAAGCTGGTTTGGTGGTGCTGAATTCTCTTAGCTTTTGCCTGTCTGAAAACCTTTTCACTTCTACATCGAATCTGAATGAGATCCTTGCTGGATAGAGTAATCTTGGTTGTAGGTTTTTCTCTTTCATCACTTTAAGTATATCCTGCCACTGCCTTCTGGCTGCAGAGTTTCTGCTGAAAAATCAGCTGATAACCTCATGGGGATTCCTTTGTATGTTATTTTTTGTTTTTCCATTGCGCTTTTAATATTTTTTCTTTGAATTTAATTTTTGTTAGTTTAATTAATATGTGTCTTGGTGTGTTTCTCCTAGGGTTTATCCTGTATGGGACTCCCTGTGCTTCCCGGACTTGGGTGACTATTTCCTTTCCCTGTTAGGGAAGTTTTCAACTATAATCTGTTCAAATATTTTCTCAGACCCTTTCTTTTTCTCTTCTTCTGGGACCCCTGTAATTCGAATGTTGGTGTGTTTAGGATTGTCCCAGAGGTCTCTGAGATTGTCCTCAATTCTTTTCATTCTTTTTTCTTTATTCTGCTCCTTGGCAGTTATTTCCACCATTTTGTCTTCCAGCTCACCTATTCATTCTTCTGACTCTGTTATTCTGTTACTGATTCCTTCTAGTGTATTTTTCATTTCAGTTATTGTGTTGTTCATCTCTGTTTGTTTGTTCTTTAGTTCTTCTAGATCTTTGTTAAACATTTCTTGTATTTTCTCAATCCATGCCTCCATTCTATTTCCGAGATTCTGGATCATCTTTACTGTCATTACTCTGAATTCTTGTTCAGGTAGGTTGTCTATTTCCTCTTCATTTATTTGGTCTTGTAGATTTTTACCTTGCTCCTTCATCTGTGACATATTTGTGTGCTGTCTCTTTTTTTTTTTTCTTTTTATGAGTGGGATTGTGTTCTTGGCTTACTGGTTGTTTGGCCTGTGGCATCCAACACTGGAGTCTGTAGGCTGTTGGGTAGAGCTGGGTCTTGGTGCTGAGATGAGGAACCCCATGAGCCCTCACTCTGAATATTCCCTGGGGTCTGAGGTTCTCTGTTAGTCCAGTGGTTCAGACTTGAAGCTCCCACTGCAGGAGCTTTGGCCCGACCCCAGGCTTGTGATCCAAGATCCCGCAAGCTGCATGGGGCAGCAAAAAAAAAAAAAAAAAAAAAAAAAAAAAAAAAAAAAAAAAAAAAAAATAAAAAAGAAAAAAAAAAATACTAGAAAAAAATAAAAATAAAAATATAGATGAATCAACAACTGAAAGGTACATCAGTACCACAATAGTAAAAAAAGAGGAGGAGGGAAAAGAAGAGAAAAGGGGGGGAAAGGCCTTGGCTGTGGAGGGCGGGGCCTAAGCAAGGGTGAGGTTTGGGTGGTGGGCGGGGCCTATGCTCAGGACCCACAAGGCTGGAAAAGGCCCTGGGGGCCATGGGGGGTGGGGCTTAGGCTCAAGGTACAGAATGGGCCCAGACGTGCCCCCTATCCCTGGTCTCAGAGGGCAGGGGACGTCACCTGGGAGCCCAGCAGGCTTCCTGGGCTCTAGTGGGCGGGGCAAACACCCTCTGCTCCTCTCCTGCTCCTCCCGCAGGGCCCCCTGCCTGCCTCTCCTGATCTCCCCAGCCTCCCTCCTATGCCTCCAGGACCCACATGGCCTGGATCAGGCTTTGGGGGGGTGGGTACTGGTTTGGGAGCTCAGCAGGCTCCCTGGCCCGAGTGGGCCAGGTGATTGCTCTCTGCTCCTCTCCCACTCTTCCCAGAGGGCCCCTCCCTCCTGCCTCTCCTGGTCTCCCCGGCCTCAGGGGCACAGATCCTGTCTGGCCTCCACTTCTCTTCCCCCCTCAGTCCCCCTACATCCTACCGGTTCACTTTGGGGTTCCTCCCGTCTCCTTGGGCGTCAGAGTCCCCCACCCGCGGCCTTCAGGCACCCTAGTTGTGGGGAGATGCTAACTCTGCGTCTTCCCACACTGCCATCTTGACCAGTATTCCTCTAACAGTTTTTTGATGGAGTTTTCAGGGTTTTCTATATATGTATCATGTTGTCTGTAAATAGTGCCAGTTTTACTTCTTCCTTTCAACTTTGCATGCCTTTTATTTCTTTTTCTTGCCTAATTCCTCTGGCTGGGATTTATAATATTATGTTGAATAAAAGGGCAAGAATGAGCGTTCTTGTCTTATTTCTGATCTTAGAGAAATAGCTTTCAGCTTTTCACCACTGATTATGATGTTTGCTGAGAGCTTGTCACATATGGCCTTTATTATATTGAGGTTTGTTCCCTCTGTACCAGATTTACTGAGAGTTTTTATCATAAATGGATGTCAAGTTTTGTCCAATGCTTTTTGTGCATCTGTTGAGATGATTATATGGTTTTTTATCCTTCATTTTGTTAATGTGATTATAACATTGACTGATTTGTGGATGTCGAACCAAGTTTGCATCCCTGGAATAAATCCCACTTAATCATGGTGTATGATCCTTTTAATGTGTTGTTGAATTCTGTTTGCTAATATTTTGTTGAGGATTTTTTTTATCTATGTTCATCAGGGATATTGGCCTGTAATTTGTGTGGTGTCCTTGTCTGGTTTTGGTATCAGGGTAATGCTAGCCTCATAAATTGAGTTCTTTGAATGTTTGTAGAATTCACTAGCAAAGCCATCTGGTCTGGGACTTTTGTTTGTTGGATTTTTAAAGTTACTGATATTAGTAGAGATATTTAGTATCCTTACTAGTTATCAGTCTATTCAGATTTTCTGTTTCATCATGATTCAGTCTTGGTAGGTTGTATGTTTCTAAGAATTTATCCATTTCTTCTAGGTTGTCCACTTTGTTGGTGTATAATTGTTCATAGTAGTCTCTTACCCTTTCTTTTCCATTTTAAGAGTTGAAATAGCTCCTCTTTCATTTCTGATTTTATTTATTTGAGTCCTATTTCTCCCTCCCTCTCTCTCTCTCTCTCCCTCTCTGTCTCTCTCTGTCTCTGTCTCTGTCTCTGTCTCTGTCTCTCTCCTTCCCTCCCTCTCTCCACTTCTCCTTTGTTGCTGAGTCTAGCAAAGGCTTGTCAATTTTGTTTACCTTTTCAAAGAACCAGCTCTTAGTTTCACTGATCTTCTCTGTTGTCTTTTTAGTCTGTTTTTTATTTAGTTTTGTTCTAATCTTGGTTATTTCCTTCCTTCTGCTAATTTTGGGCTTTGTTTGTTCTTCTTTTTCTAGTTTCTTGAGTTGTAAAGTTAGGTTGGTTATTTGAGATTTTTCTTGTTTCTTGAGGTAGGCATTTATCACTTGACCTTCCCCCTTAGAACTGCTTTTGCTGCAACCCACAAATTTTGGTATGTTTTATTTCCATTCTCAATCATCTCAAGGTATTTAAAAATTTCTCTTCTGATTTATTCTTTGACTCATTGGTTGTTCAGTAGCATGTTGTTTAATCTCCACTTATTTGTGAATTTTCCAGTTTTCTTCTTGTAATTAATTTCTAGTTTCATACCATTGTAGTTGGAAAAGATGCTTGATATGATTTTAATCATCTTAAATTTATTGAGACTCATTTTGTGGCCTAATATATGGTCTATCCTGGAAAATGTTCCATGTGCACTTGAGAAGAATGTGTATTCTGTTGCTTTTGCATGAAGCGTTCTTTATATATTTGTGAAGTTCATCTGATCTTATGTGTTGTTTAGGTCCAATGTTTCGTTACTGATTTTCTGACTGAATGATCCATCCATTGACCTAAGTGTGGTATTAAAGTCCCCTGCTCTTACTGTATTGCTGTCTGTTTCTCCTTTTAAGTCTGTTAATATTTGCTTTATGTATTTATATGTTCCTCTTTTGGGTGCATAAATGTTTACAAATGTTATATCCTCTTGTTGGATGGACCCAACAAGAGGATATAACATTTTTAAATATTAGATTATCATATATAATATGATAATGTCTCTTATTAGAGTCTTTGTTTTAAAGTCTGTTTTGTCTAAGTATAGTTACTCCAGCTTTCTTTTGGTTTTTATTTGGAATTAGGATAATTAGAATTGGTTTGATTTAACTAAGCAATTTCAAAATGTTTGGTTCTTGTTATCTGGGCTTTTGCATGCTAAAGATTCAAAATGTAATATTATAATGCACTATATATTTAATGTACCATTTGGTTTAAATGTTACCTTTCTTTAAAAGTCACCTTTCTGTGTTTGTTAATTTGGCAAGCTGTGGAGCAAGCCTCTGTGGGTAGCAATAACCCACCTTTCAACACAGCAGTCACAGTCGGCTGAGAAGGTAATGAAACTCTTCTTATTCTGGCCTAAGCCTGAATGGTTTTCTTGAGGATTCCATGGAAGCAAACTTGAATTTCCAGATGGACTAACTTTAGTGACTGGAATTGAAGAGGTCACAGAGAGCATGGTCTGAAGGGTGGTTGGATTGAAATGAAAGAAGAGAGTAAAGGAAGGTGATGGAAGCAGTTCTGAATGAGGTCATGCATTCTTCTGTGGCTACTCTGAGTGATTTAGACTCTGCCCTAAGATGCAGAGGATCATTCTCCTTTTAAATGGCTTCTGTTGGCTCAGAGATGGTCAACTTTTAGTGGTTCTTGTCCTGTTTTCAGTGGATTCTTCATCTGCAGAAGCAAGAGCTCATACAAATCAGTGCTCCTATAAAAGTGAACCTCTCATTTATTTTCTCTTAAAAGGAAGCCTAAAAATAACAGACAGCTCAGTTTCCTTGGGCCAAGGAATCCTCTGAAAAAAATAATGTATTTATGATTTCTGATTCTTTTGTTTTCAGATCACATGAAAGGATTAAGAGCCCCTACCTTGAAAAGAAGGTTGGAGTGCAGGTAATTTCTTTTCTTTTCTTTTTTAAAATTATTTATTTATTTATTTGGCTGTGCTGGGGCTTAGTTGTGGCATGTGGGATCTTCGTTGTGGCATGTGGATCTTCAGTTGCAGCATGTGGGAACTTTAGTTGCAGCATACAAACTCTTAGTTGTGGCATGTGGGATCTAGTTCCCTGACCAGGGATTGAACCCAGGTCCCCTGCATTGGGAGCATGGAGCCTTAGCCACTGGACCACCAGGGAAGTCCCCAGGTAATTTCCTTTGCTATTTATTTGTGTGTTCTATTTTTTTAAGTAAAAATTTTAATTGAGCTGTAACATCTACATAGAAAAGTACTTACATCATATGGGAATAGTCTGATGAACTTTTACAAGTGAACACATGTGTAGCATCTGCCCAGTCCAAGAAATAGAACAGCATCAATATCCTGGGACAGAACCCATTCCCTCCCCCAGTCAGTCTTCCCCACCCACAGGTAACCTCTCTTCTGACTTTTGTCATCATCATTTAGCTTTGGTTGTTTTTGAACTTTATTTAAATAGAATCATACTGAATAGACTCTTCTACTTGTTTTCTTTTACTTAACATTATATTTGAATGATTCATCCATGCTATTGGGTGCAGTAATAGTCTGTTCATTTTTATTTCTGTAAGAGTGTGTCTGTGTGTGTGCGTAAATGACTGTTCCATTATAAAGAGTCATATAATATTGTTGGATCCTTTCTTAAAGCTGAGTCATTGCATTCTTTTCCTGCAGTCATTGCCTAAATTAGATTCCAAATTCTCAAGATATATGCAGTGGTTAGGGGCAGTGGTTAGGGGCACTGACCTTCTATGAGGTCAAAAATCCACATATAACTTTATAGTTGGCCCTCCCTATCCTGGTTCCACATCTGTGGATTCAACTAACTGCAGATTGTGTAGTACTATGGTACTTATTTAGTGAAAAAAAACCCTGTGCGTAAGTGGACCCTCACAGTTGAAATCCATGTTGTTAAAGGGTCAACTGTATATAGAAAGGACCCTATTGACTTTTTGACTCTTTGATCTTTGACTTAGCAGGCTTCTTTGCTAAGTGATATCAATAGTCTGTGTTTGTGATAATGGTAGCTAATATTTATTAAAAATATATATTCATGGGCTTCCCTGGTGACGCAGTGGTTGAGAGTCTGCCTGCTGATGCAGGGGACAGGGGTTCATGCCCCGGTCTGGGAAGATCCCACAGGCCGCGGAGCGGCTGGGCCCATAAGCCATGGCTGCTAAGCCTGCGCGTCCAGAGCCTGTGCTCCACAACGGGAGAGGCCACAACAGCGAGAGGCCCGTGTACCGCAAAAAAAAAAAAAAAAAAAATATATATATATATATATGTAATCATACTAGATGTTGAAGATACAGTAGTGAGCAAAATAGGCAAAAATCCCTCTCTTCTTGGAGCTGACATTCTCCTTAGAGCCTCTTGATAATCTTTTGAATAGATACTATTATTATTTCTATTTTACAGATGAGGAAACTGAGGAACCAGAGGGGTTAAATTAGTTGCCCAAGGTCATGCAGCCAGTAAGTGGCAGGACCAGGACTCCCACCAGGTCTGTCTGATTTTAGAGCCTATGTATTAGTTATCTATTGCTGCGTAACAAACTACCCCCAAACTCAGTGACTTAAAACAACACTAATCATGTTTTCTCTCTGTCTCTTTCTATGGGTCAGGAGTTCTGACAGGGTACAGTGGGGATGGCTGGTTTCTGCCTGACTGGGTGTCATATGGGGGCTGACATTACCTGAAGGCTCATTCATTCAATGTCTGACATGTGGGCTGAGGAGACTCAAACAGTTGGGGCACTTTGGGCATCTCTGTCTCTAAAAAATAGCTCTTCAGCATAGTGGTTTCAGAATAGCAGGACTTCTTAAATGGAAACTAAAAAAAAAAGTGTATGTCCCAAGAGAGGGCCAGAGGCAGCCATACTGCCTGGAGATCTAGCCTCGAAAGGCCTGCTGTATTATGTCCATCACATTCTGTTGGCTAAGGCAGTTACAAAGGTCTGTCTGGGTTCAAGGGGAGGTTAACACAGACGCCTCCTGTCAGTGGGGGAATTTCCATGACCACTTTGTAAGAAGACGGCGTGTGGTTAGGGTGTATACGTCAGTGTGGGCATCTCTGGAAAGTATGATCCGCTGTAGACTGTATTCCTAACCTCTGAACTGGAGTGTTGAATTTTTAAAGTTTGTCATGAAGTTGATTTCTGCCCACTAAACATAAACAGAATAGATTTATATGAAGTAAAAGGCAGACGTCTCCTGTCCCACTTCCCTTTCTGCAGAGGTGGTTTACCATTTGGTGGTATCTCTCCAGACATACCTGATTGTCTAAAACATGTGTCTTTAAGATGAGAATGGTGAGGACCAGCCTTTGAGGAGGTCAGAGGATGCAGTATTTTCCTTCTGCTTCTTGCCCATCCCTTTATAGTCTCGATGGGACTGAGGTGGGCACTGGAGTATTGGCCTCTGCCAGCTCAGTTTCTGAATTATTCGAGGCAACTGACATATTTTGAAACATATTTCCTAGTCACCCAGATGTCTCATTCTCGATTGTACTAAAACAGCTTCTTTTTTTTTTTTTTTTTGGTCTCTTGTTTTCAGCTTGAAGGTGTACTTATACTGTTCGCCTGTTACTAAAGAGCTGTTGTTAACAAGCCCAAGGTACAGATTTTGGGAGAAACGAATTGTAAGTTTTATTTTTTGAATGACACTAATTCTTCTTTTCAAGTGGGAAATATTTTTTGAGGTGTATTGAGCAAAGCATCGGCATTATTCAAAGCCCGCTTCCTCCACACTGTATTTACCCACGGTAATTATAGTGTTGCTGTTTAGCCTTTGTAATTCATTAGTTTGGAAGAGGTTGACATTTTATCTGCTGCTGATTTTTCTTTCTTGTCCCTCAACATGTTGACCTAGATTCTTAGTTTTGCCTAATCTCACAGACTCTCTTGCTGAGTTACATTTTATTACTTTAAAGTATAAAACATTCATTAACATAATTGATAAATCTTTTTATTTAGATCATGGGATAGATTAGGAAAAATAAAATTTATGGGTTATAATAAGAAAGGGGTAACAATCAGAATGAAAATAGAATGGATAATTTTGAATCTGGCAGAATAAAATGGATCTACCCAACAGAAGGTAAAGGGGAGAAAAAAACATGGCACGTTGAAAATGCGAAGATGGTGGCACAAGTTCTATTATAACAGTAATTGCTATGAATATGAATGGATTTACTTCAACCCTGGATCAAAAGACAAATTCTTGGTTTAGGCTAAAAAAAAAAAATGATCCACCAGTCTTGGTCTACAAGAGACATAAATTACTCTAAAGGAAAAATGTAGGTTGAAGGGGAAAAAATGAAAAGTAAAAAGTATAATGAACAGTTAGAAGCTAAACATGCCAGAGTGGCAACTTTTATATCATACAGAGATTGAAGGCAAAAAAAATATCATAAGCGTCAAAGAAGATGTTATTTACTATTAAAAGGAACAACGTTTTAATAGTACCAAGAAGATATGAACATAAATGCAATTGACAAAATAGCCTCAACCTGGATACAGTAGTACCTGATCACCCAGTGCTTGATCAGAGGAAGAACCACGAGGGGTAGATAGCATTAGGGTTTGTGATATGGATTAAACCATCAGTAATTGGGGGTGCTGGCAGAGAAGTCTGAACAGGCATCACCAACAGTGTTTGATGTCTGATTGCTGGCAGCTTTCAGCTCCCACCTCCACTTGCCCCACATCTGGGCAAACTGATTAAAAAAAAAAAAGCCTGCCCCTTCCTTGGCGCCTACATGGAATTCAAACATGCAAGCCCAGGCCCACCCCGTAACCACGATAAAAACCAGGGCCACCTGCTCCCATTTTCTCAGGTCACACAAACCACTTCCTCCCAGCCTGGTTTCTACCCTGCTCTCCCCAGAAAGTCCCACAGTGAACATACCACAGTGTTTTCACACTCTCTTGGTTCATGTGTGGCATCTTCAGCCTTAGCCTCTGATCTGTCAGTTGGGGTGGGATCCGCGCCCCCCCCCCCTCCGCAGAGGGACACAACAACAAGGCTGTAACCTTGGCCTTGGTATTAGGCCTGAAGTTACTGTGGGTCAATCCTGCCAGCAGTCAGGAAGGAAAGCTGAAAAAGAAGGAGAGAAGAGCAGAGATAGGCTGGAGTCCACAGGGACAAATGGGGACCCATGTCTGCCTCCCACTCCTTGGTCACTGAGTTCCACACACGTGGCCCAGGGCTCCAAGAAGCTCGGGAGGATACCCAGCGGAAGACGGAGCTGCCGCCTTACTGCCTGTGTCAGTGAGGTAAGCCAACAGATCAACAGCATACCCGAGCTGTTATCATTTCTGGTGCCTTTCAGAGCATTGAAAAATGGCTGCTGGTTCACTTCTGCCTTCCAAATCTCACACAGGTGTTTCTTGTGGCCACTGCTAACCTGGAAGTGTACGTGGAAGGGGCTTGTAGGATAATTCCAGTTCAGCTGAGTGGATGTACTTTAAGGCCACCTCATAATCTAAGGGAGAAAGGGGCAACTCAACAGTGGTAGCTGGAGAGCTTACCAGACCACTCTCAGAAGCTGAAAGATGAAGGAGACAGGAAGTAAGTGAATATACAGAAGATTTAAGTGGCATAATTAATACATGCGAACCAATCGAAACACAGAGCTTTAAACCGAACAGAGAAAAGACCTTTGGGTAAACTTGGAACGCTTACCAAAACTGAGCATGTACTACGTCACTCAAGAAGTTTCAAGAAATCCTAGTGATCTGTTCTTTTACCATAATACAATGATGTTGGAAATCAGAAATACAAGGAGAGTTAAAATCATCCCATACATATGGGAGCTAAATGCATACCACAAGCAACTCTAGGTTAAAGAGAAAATTGTAAAGAAAAACATACAATACTTAGGACTGATGGACAATGAAAGTGTGACATGTCAAAGTGTGTGGAGCACAGCTAAGTTAGTACTTGAAGGGAAATTGAGAGCATTAAATGCATTTCTTAGAAAACAGACTGGAACTAAATGGAATGTCTTTGACTCAAGAAGAACGAAAAGGAGCAACAAAGCAAATCTAAGGATATGTGAAAGAAGAAAATAATAGGAAAGGATAGGTTAGTGATATAGAGACTAACTACCACAGAAAATAAAAGGGAAGATTAACAAAAGTAAAAGCTGGTTTCTAGAGAAATAGAGATAAATTTAGGGACTTCCTGGTGGTCCAGCAGTTAAGACTCTGTGCTTCCAATGCAGGGGATGTGGGTTTGATTTCTGGTTGGGGAACTAAGATCCCACATGCCGCACAGTGTGGCCAAAGCAAAGAAACAAAACAAAAATAAGAAAACAAAACGAAATAGAGATAAATCTTGCCAAGATCGATTAAAAAAACAAAGATGCATATAAAAATACAGAATGATAAAAAGGAAAATACCTATTAATAATAGCAGTGCCTTGTTTTGAAAATTAATATGATAGTATATTCAATAATTTAGACACAGTGGATAAATACTGGAAAAGTAGGAAAATACCAAATTGAGGCAAGAAAAGTAGACCACTTGAATAAAGAAGTAGGCATCAAAGACATTAAAACAGTTTTCAAAGATCTCTTCTTCAAAAAAGCCCCACACCCAGATGGTTTTTTTTTTTTTTTTTTTGCGGTACGCGGGCCTCTCACTGTTATGGCCTCTCCCGTTGCGGAGCACAGGCTCTGGACGCACAGGCTCAGCGGCCATAGCTCACGGGCCCAGCCGCTCCGCGGCATGTGGGATCTTCCTGGACCGGGGCACAAACGCATGTCCCCTGCATCGGCAGGCGGACTCTCCACCACTGCGCCACCAGGGAAGCCCCACCCAGATGGTTTTATAGGTGCATTTTGCCAAATGTTCAAAGAAAAAATAATCCCTATTGTAGGAGAGACTAAAAAGATAAGCTGCTCAACCTCACTGGCTAAATGGATAATGATAGTAAATGCCGGGGGGGGGGGGGGGGGGGGGGGAAAGGCATTTCACATGTGAATATCCTAATTAAGGTCATAGCTGACTGAATCTCGCAGTATTAAAAAATAGTGTATCATGAATACAGTGTGTTTATTCCAGAAATGCAAGGATATTTTCACACCTGAATCTCAAGTCACTGTAAATTTTATGACATCAGTGGTCTAAAAAGGTGGGAAATTCTGTTTATTCATCAGCTACTTACTGAATGCCTCTCTGTGCTCCTCGCTCTTCTAGTAAAATGTACATGTACACTCCAACCTTTTCATAGCAGCTCAAATCTGTGAATTAGGCCAACACGCCATGGACTGATGGCAGACTGTGTTCTGCAGCAGAAAACCTAAACACATAGAATACATGGGGAGGTGAAGGGAGGAAAATTGAATTCATAGATGTAGAATTGCTGTGTCTGAGGATGTGTAAGTTTATAAGGTATTCAATCCATATTGCCACATCAACCTCAGGAAAGGTACTGTATTAGCTTTATCATGTTTTGGGGCTGTTCAACCATTATTATAGTGAAATCAGAAATTGTTCCACAGAGAGTCTGTAATGTCTCTTAGTTCCCTTTCTGTGTTTGAGATGGCAAAGCCATATAAAGCCATGAAAACCCATGAAAATGTATAATGCAATGTATACATGACCTCTTATTTTATTCTAATAGATATCCATTGAAATTGAAACTCCTACCCAGATATCTTTAGTGGATGAAGCATCAGGCGAGGTAACTAAATATTAAATACTGTGTTTTTAAAAATTATTAATTATACTCAGCATTAAATGATTGTTTATCTTTGTCCTTGATTTGATTGCTCATGTAACCAGAAATAAAATTTATAGTAAATGAGTGAGTTTGTAGGGAA